ATCTTCAATATCTTGAGGTGTACCCTTTTTGGCGAGCTTCGAAATCACTTGAGGCTTGACACCAAGGCTCGGGCTCTTCATCACAAACTCATCCTTGAGTTCTTGATGGGTCTGCTGCACACACCTGCGACACGCCGAACGTTCGACACAGGACAAAATAGAAACCGCGCACGACAAAATAGAAACCGCGCGCGAGACACAAACGACCGCGTAACACGCGTCTAGCGATAACTCGCTATTGACTCGACACACACACTCGACATCATGACTCAACATTCACACACAATTATAAGCATGAAATATATATTATCCCATGCCCTCATACCATTCCATACACACACACATTCACGCACACGGACAACAAGCCGAGTGCAAACCGTAGGGTTGCACGAACAGTTTCTCATGCTCCTGGTGTATGTGGACGACATCCTGCTCTTCTCTGAGTCGTCTGCAATGATTGAGCGTGTGGAGGAGATGCTGGAGATGCAGTTTAAGTGCTCCAAGATGGGAGATGTGAAGTACTATTTGGGGATGCATGTGGAGAGGGACCTTGACAAGGGAGTGTTGAGGTTGCACCAGAGGAAGTATTGTGAGGGGCTGGCTGAGAAGTATGGGCTGCAAGATGGAGGAAAGCCAGCCACCCCACGACCTTCGGGGTTCACTGTGGAGCCCTGTGCTGATGAGGAGGTGGTGGGTGAGAGTGACAGGAAGCTGTTTCATTCCATGGTGGGGGCACCCAATTATGCGGCTAACCACACGCGGCCTGACATTGCCTTTGCTACATCCAGGCTTGCCAGTGTGGTTTCACGCCCCAGTCATGAGCAGCTGGAAGCGGCCAAGAGGTTGGTCCGCTATGTGTGTGCAACGGCATCAGTGGGTTTGGAGTACAGTGCAGTGCGACAGAGGCTGCAGAGGGGTGCAGCTGATTTGAGCAAGGGGGAGATGCTCTTGACTTGCTACACCGACGCTAGCTTCAACTCTGTGAAGGCAGATGGCACCAGCATTGGAGGCTATGTGTGCCTGTTTGGAGGTGGTGCAGTGAGCTGGCGCAGCAAGAAGCAGAATGAGGTGGGGCAGTCCTCATGTGAGACAGAGTACATGGCCCTGCATCACGGGGCAAAGGAGGTGGTGTGGCTGAGGCGTCTGTTGGAGGAGATCGGAGTGTGCCAGAAGGAGCCAACTGTGATTTTTTGTGACAACGAGTCGGCTGTGAAGCTTGCAAAGAACGTCTGCCTTCATGGGCTGACAAATCACATCAGGCCCAAGTGGCACTGGGTGAGGAGGCTCCTAGACAAGGAGGTGCGGCTGGAGATTGTGAAGACCCATCAGCAGGCGGCTGACATTCTCACCAAGCGCCTGGTTGAATCTGAGCATTGGAAGGGCATGAAGCTTGCTGGGATGATTGTGCATTGAGGGTGCATGATTGAGCTATGGCATGTGGGATGATGGTTGGCAGCCAGAGGGGGAGTTTGTTATGTGATGCTATCATCTGCATTCACGTCTGTCTGCCTCCCATCATATGTTCGTGCGTTGCATGCGTGGTGTGAGCGTGTGCAAGAATTTCTTTTTTCTGTGGTTTGGATTCTCTGAGTGTGTGTGAATGTTATTTGGCTTGAGCAGATATCTGAAGTGACTCCTCTGCTCAAGAGCTTTCCGACAAACCAAGTATCGCTTCAATCGGAGCACGAACAAGAAAGTTACGAACATTTGAAGTTCGTATGCTTTTGATATTTGGTTGTGGTGACTATGGGAAGTTGTGAGGTTGACTCCATAGGGGGTATAGACTTTTGGGGGTTGGGAAATTCGTCAACATCACTGTAGATGCTGCCAAGTGGTTGGGAGAAACCAAATTGGGTTGGCTAGTGTGGCCAACTTGGGTGAGGTGGATTGTGGAGGTTGGGAAAGTGACAAAAGTGAAAGTGGGGTTGCCTATGGAGAGGGGAATTGTGTGGTATGGGGTTTCCTTGGTTGGGGACTCCTTGGGGACCTTCCCTCTCGTTCTCCTCTCCCCTCCCACCTGGTTAATTGCTACTCTAACTTCCTTGTGTGGTAATTGTGAGAACTCTTGTTATTGAGTTAAGATTCTATGGCAGCTTACCCCCTAGTGCGCCAAAATACATAACTCAAAATATACTTCACCTTTCGGTACGATTCAACTTGGGAATTGTAGCTACGGTCTAGGGCTACATCATATCCGAAATTGGTGGAGTTTGAACGGTGCGTTTTTTTGTCGACAACGTTTCTTGTGAGCGCGACTATTCTGTCCAGAAATTGAGACCAACGATTTTGTTATATTTCGGCCTCTAAGGTTCCTAGACTCCGTCCTTAGTCTCTAACAAGCCCATCCCACAGGTCACAAGTCACCGGACTTGTTAAGATGAGAGATGATTCCGTTCGTCACAAGTCACCCACACGCTCTCCTACAGCGCATGACTGGCGGCTTTTCCATGGATATTCCCAAGAGTACATGGATGAATAACGTGTTTCGACGTACGGGTCTACCATTCCAGGTTCTGATTCGGGTCAACCATTCCATCCGTCACGCCTGGGCCCAAGGCTGGCACACGTGGGCCTTGTCTGTTCCATTCCCAGCCTTTTGGTGATTCCATCCGGAAGCTCGCTTGTTGCAGACTCTGTGTTGCTTCTGGGGGGCGTTGATTTGACTCATGGAGACGTGCGTCAACTGTGTCCACCTTCCCTGCTTCTGTTCGCCCCCGTAAATGAGTCGAGAACTATCCTTGCTGGGCGAGAATGTGTTTGTGGGGTGCCATGCCAAGTTGTGCATTTTGACATGATGCTTCTGTGGCATCGAAACCCCCACCGGCAGGCGTCCTGATTCAGATTGAAATATGAGCCAACTGCACAGAATGCGCGCTGGGGCTGGCCTGGGGCTGGTCGATCACGGGCCAGTCCGGGCGGGGCCTTAGATCAAACACACCCGGCCACATCAATTCCATCTATCCATGCATCCATCCATTCACCCATGCCGTCGCACTCTCAATCCGCCTTACTCCCCACCCCCCCTTCCTCTGCCTTGTCTTCCTCGTTGGTCCCTTCCACAGGTGCATGTCTCCGTGCCCTCTCGCTAGCCCACCAGCACAACACTCCTAACACCCGCATGTCGCGGCACACGTTGCTGACACCCAGGTGGGCGCCTCTGCCTTAATTCCTGTCTGAATATCTCCCTGCCTACCTACCTCCCTGCCTACCTACCTCCCTGCCTACCTACCTCCCTGCCTACCTACCTCCCTGCCTACCTTCCTGCCTCCATTCCTGCCTGCCTCCCTGCCTCTTGTGTCTCTTTCTGTTCGCATGACTTGGCCTCCCTATCTCTCTCTCCACGCCTGCCCTCACACCACTGACTACAAGTGACTGCTCCTTTCCGTGCCTTCCATAGATTCCTGCCCGTGTCCCATGCCCCCACCTTTTCCCCACCTCGTCTCCCACCCCTTTCCGCTTGCACATCCAGCTGCTGTGCCTCCTGCCACTCCATCTCCCGCAACCATGCCATCATTCCAAACACCCCCCAGCCTTCCTCTCCAGCACCACACCTCCCTGCCTCTGCCCCCTCGGCCATGCTCCCTCCCTGGCACCTCACAGCCCACAACACAGCACGGTACAGCACACCACCTCACAGCGTCCCTGGCCCAGGACACTCTGTGCCCCGGAAGTGCCCTTCTCTCCCCCCACCCACCCCCTCTCTTGCGTGTTTGCTCCCCACCCCACCCCTCTGCCAGGAGATAGCACGGCTGCGGCGGGCAGTGCAGGGGTTGCCTGGCGATTTCGGGGGATTAGAGGGGGGAATCAGAGGGGGGTGGTGGGAGTGGGGGATGGGGGGGGGGAGGGAGGGAGGGGAGGGAGAAAGGAGAAAAATAGGTGCAACAGAAGGGAGGAACACGTAGGTGGACTGAGTGAGAGGGCAAGGTTGTGAGGGGACAGCAACTGCAAGGAGGGGGAGGAAGGTGTAGGGAGTAGGGTTTGATAGAGCATGAGGCCAGGGAATGGCACAACTCATTCCTGAAGAAGCACAACCGCTCGTACAGAAACAGCCAAGAAGATCACTACGGTCAGCTGCAGCTCCCTCCACCCGCCCGTGTTTCCACTCTGTGTTGGTGCAACCCTACGGTTTGCACTCGGCTTGTTGTCCGTGTGCGTGAATGTGTGTGTGTATGGAATGGTATGAGGGCATGGGATAATATATATTTCATGCTTATAATTGTGTGTGAATGTTGAGTCATGATGTCGAGTGTGTGTGTCGAGTCAATAGCGAGTTATCGCTAGACGCGTGTTACGCGGTCCTTTGTGTCTCGCGCGCGGTTTCTATTTTGTCGTGCGCGGTTTCTATTTTGTCCTGTGTCGAACGTTCGGCGTGTCGCAGGTGTGTGCAGCAGACCCATCAAGAACTCAAGGATGAGTTTGTGATGAAGAGCCCGAGCCTTGATGTCAAGCCTCAAGTGATTTCGAAGCTCGCCAAAAGGGTACACCTCAAGATATTGAAGATAGTTACATTACTTTGTGTAGTGTAACATTTCACTTGGTGTAGGCCCTAGTGAAGGGTAGTTTCGAGACCCTTCGTGGTTGGGGACAGTGTGGCACTGTTCCACATCACTGTACCTCGGCTCTTGGGGTTTGTAGGAGCTGGGAGTCATTCCCAACTCGTAACTCTTCCTATCTTGTGTTCTAAGACTATAGTGGCTGCCATAGTACCGTTCGTTCAAACCGACGCTGTGTCGTCAATTCTTGATCAAATCGTGCAATCTAAATTGATAATTGTAGACGACGTAAAGACGCTCCAGATCCAATTTGAATCAAGTCATTTGCAGCTGTGAGCAGAACGCTATCAACGTTTGAAGCCGCTGTGCAGAAATCCGTCTGTGCTCTCTATCTTTCGTTTTAGGCACATTCAAGCCTATTGTGACTATAACACTCTGCACCTCCACCCGGCCTCCTCTCTATCGTGCATTCCCACCTCGCACACACCTCCTTCCCACCTTATCCGCATGCATTCCCACCACGTGTATTCCCTGGCGCTGTTGGGAGCGGGTCGTCACTGGGAGGCCATCGGGGGCTTCAAGGCCGTGCTGCTGCTCTCACCACATCACCACAACGCACTCGCTCACCTGGTTCGTACCGCTGTGCTGTGCTCTACCAATCCGCCCTGTGCTTCTCCATGCCAGTGCCAGCACTACAACCCTGACACACCCCGCCTCTCCTCTCCCCTCACACCCAAACCCTCCCCCATTCATCCACATCCCCTTCCCTCCACACCCACTTCCCCCACCCCCCTCCCTCTCCCCTCCCTCCCCTCCCTCTCCCCTCCCTCCCCTCCCTCTCCCCTCCCTCCCCTCCCTCTCCCCTCCCTCCCCTCCCTCTCCCCTCCCTCCCCTCCCTCTCCCCTCCCTCCCCTCCCTCTCCCCTCCCTCCCCTCCCTCTCCCCTCCATCCCCTCCCTCTCCCCTCCCTCCCCTCCCTCTCCCTCCCTCCCCTCCCTCTCCCCTCCATCCCCTCCCTCTCCCCTCCCTCCCCACCCTCTCCCCTCCCTCCCCTCCCTCTCCCCTCCCTCCCCTCCCTCTCCCCTCCCTCCCCTCCCTCTCCCCTCCCTCCCCTCCCTCTCCCCTCCCTCCCCTCCCTCTCCCCTCCCTCCCCTCCCTCTCCCCTCCCTCGCCTCCCTCTCCCCTCCCTCCCCTCCCTCTCCCCTCCCTCCCCTCCCTCCCCCCTCCCTCCCCCCCCTCTGCACCCGCCAGGCGCAGGCGCTACTGGAAGCGGGGCGGTGTGGGGAGGCGGTGGGGGAGCTACAGGCAGTGGTGGCGGCGCAGGGGCAGTACTGGCAGGTGCACGTAGTGCTGGGGACTGCGCTGATGCCACTCTGCATGCTGTCCTGGCCATAGACGCACGGTGAGCAGGTGGGGGGAGAGGGGAGGGGAGAGGGGGGAAAGAGGGGGGGGTGGGGGGGAGGGGAAGGGAGAGGGGGAGGGAAGGGGGGAGGATGGGTGGATGGGATGGGTACGCATCTCCCTCCATTTCTCCCACCCCCCCTCCTGCATATGTGTCAACCTCCATGGACCATCACCAGTGTGTCACCCGTGGTCCCCTCAGCCTCCCCCTCCACTTAATTACGCATCCTCTCTCAATTCACTCCTTCCAGCTCAACCCCCCTCCCCTCTTCCCCAACCCCCCCCCCCCCCATTCCCTGATATCCCCTCCCTCCTATTCCTCGCATGCCTTAATAGTCAGTGCTTGCAACCCCCCATTCTCCCATACTCACATGCTCGCATGTCCCCACGCGCCCATCGCATGCCTACCTCCCACATTACTCGCCATCCCTCTCAGTGCCCTCCCACATGCCATTCCTACTGTGCCATCCCCCACTATGCTTATCCCACAGCACCGTGCTATCCACAGTGCAACATCATACACTGAGATGTGCTTCCTGGAAGCTTCTTTGTCTGCACGCCATGGGCCGATGGGTTCAAACAGTAAGCTCCCCCCCTAACTCTCTCACTTCCCTACCTTGTGGAACCCTTACCAGCCAGCTCGTTGCTGCCCTCTGCTGCCATTCTTGCACTCCCGAATTTGCCCATTTATCTGCCCGCACCCACCACAACCCCTCGCCTTCCCCATTTATTCCTCTGCCCACTCTTGTGTACATTCCTGTGCTGCCATGACAGGTGTGCAAGTACAATGACCTCTTACACGCCCTGCCCCCCAACTGTCTGCTTGCGTGCTCCTCATGTGTGTGCGTGCGCGCATGTGCGAGGGTGCGTGCATGTGTGTGCGTGAGTGCATGTGTGTGCATGTATGCGTACTGTGCCTGAGCATTCTTTTCTGCATGTGCTTGGGAGGTGGCATTGTACATGGCAGCTGGTCAGCGCAAACCGCGTGCACTTTTTAACGTGAGACCATACCCTCTTGCAAATGCTCACTGCTCATGCCCACTGCTGCTTGCAACGTTACACTTGCTGCATCTTATCCCCCCAATTCCCCTCCTCCCCTCATCCCCTTATCCCCTTTTCCTGGCTTCTTCTCCCTTCTTCCTCCCAGTTCATAACCCCAACCACCTCCTCCACACCCACCAACCCCCCCATCTCCACACCCCATCTTCCCTTCAACCCCCCAACCTTTCTCCCTATCCCTCCCCCACACCACCACTATGACCACCGCCAACCCCCATGCTGGAAGCATGGACCAAGCGCTGGCCGCCCTCTGTGCTCTTCCCCAGCTACGAGATATGGGCCCTCACATGGTGGCACAAGATGCAGCAGAGGGTGGGAGGGAGCGGTAGTGCTGTCGCCCGCTGTGCTGCAGCTGGTGGGGGCGCCCTCACAGCATATGACTGGCACGGGTTCTTGCCCAACATGCACAGGGAGGGTGCTAGGGGCGAGGGGGTAATGATGGGAGGGAGGTGGTGATGGAGGTAGTCAGTGAGGGGATGTGAGTAGATGGGCCTTTGTTGCCTGTTCTGTGTCTCCCCATACACACTTGTATTCCTCGTTCCTGTAGTTCTTACATTCCCTTTCATCTCTTTCCCTCCCGCTTTCTCCTGCCTTAAATGCACGGGGCACCACCACCACCAGTACCGCATGGCAGGGCTGGAAATGATGGACCTTTGAGACCTGGTGCGGTGCACATGGGGGGTCATGGCGGAGGAGAGAGACAGTGCGGAAGAGAGGGGTGAGAATGAGCAGCAGGAAGAGGGCAAGCGGGTTTCAGGAGGAGGACGGGAGAGGAGAGTATAGGAGAGGAAGCAAGGGGAGACGGAGAGGGGGGGTGAGGGGGCACGCGGGCAGAGAGGGCGGAGGAGGCGGTGACGGGGTGGCGACATTGGGGCTTGAACCAGCTGGGTTCTCAAGGGGGAGACGAGGAGATATGGGGCAGCATCCCTGCCTCGGCGCACCTCCCCCGAAGCACCGAGTGCGATGAGCGGGCCGAGGTGGAGGCGCAGAGGGTCGAGGAGGAAGTGGCCCCACTTAAGGCAAGGGACTGATACCGCGAGTGATCTGATGCTGCAGCAGCAGCGTTAGCAGAGGCAAGAGCAACAGCAGCAGACGAGGAGCAAGCAGGAGAACAACTTGTGACGATCCCTTTCCGACCCACACATGTTCCTGCCTCTCAAATGGGAGAAGTGGGATGCAGCAAGGTGCAGTGGAGTTGCAGGGTAGAGGATCTGCATGGAGCAGGGAGAGTGTGGGCATTCAGGTTCGTGTGTGAGCATGTGCGTGCACTGTCACACGTATCAGCACCACTCAAGGATTTGAGATGGTTTCCTGCACGCTCACTTGCTCGCTTCTGTTCCCTCCCTGCCCGCTGTTGCTCCAGTTCTCCCTTCAGTATCATAGGACCCCGCACCACCCCTGCTGCTGCTGCTGCTGCTGCCCCCACTGCTGCTGCTCCAACCGCTGCATCTCGACCCCTTGGCTGCATCTTGACCCCTTGGCTGCATCTGCTGACGTCCTAACCGCTCCTGCTGCTACTGCTGCTGCTGCTGCTGCTGCTGATGCTTCTGCGGCTGCTGCTGCTGCTGCCGCCGCCGCCGCCGCTGCCGCCGCCGCTGCCGCTGCCGCCGCCGCTGCTGCCGCTGCGGCCAGAGCTGCCGCCGCTGCTGCTGCCGCTGCGGCCACCGCCGCCGCCGCCGCTGCTGCTGCTGCTGCGGCGGCCGCTGCCGCCGCTGCTGCTGCTGCTGCTGCTGCTGCTGCTGCTGCTGCTGCTGCTGCTGCTGCTGCCGCTGCTACTGCCGCCGCTGCCGCCGCTGCTGCTGCTGCTGCGCTGCTGCTGCTGCCGCCGCCGCCGCCCCCGGATTTGATAACATCGGTAACAAGAACAACAATGTCACATAGAGCCATGTCATCATTCCTATTCGCTCGTTCGCTATTCTCCGATTGTGAAGGTAGGTAGGTACACAACAACTCACAATGACAAGTATGAGAACAGTTTTGCAATGCCCGGTTTAGGGAAGCAGATATTCTGCCCCCATCTCGCTTTAGACACTCAAATATCAGGATTGTGCTACGTATGCAGTCTCTATCAGAGATAAGCAAGCAGAATGAATGAAGTAGGAAGAGATATGGACCATAAAATGGGTTGTACCCTCTAAGAAGCACCTCACTGTAGCCTAAGGGTGTGTTCCTACACCCACTTATCAGGCCTACCTCGTATCAGACTTGGTAAGACTCGACAAATTCGTGATAAAACCCAGATTTCATACTTGGATTCATGGCCGACTTTAATAAATAAAAAAAAACAAAACCAAAAACAAAACAAAAAAAATGCAGATGGTTGACATAAGAACTTCATGAGGCTGGCATTCTGTAGCGTGCGAACGTAGCTCTGTGTTGTCGGGCTCAAATTGAACAGTGTGCAATGAACCCCTCATAGTGCTGCGCGAGGAACCTGTCAGTCACGCGAGGCAATTACGCTAAAAACGTACAAAAGATTCGTGTTACGATATGTCGGGTACAGGAACGCGGTAATCAGCCTATGCTTTTGTCGTGCATCAACCAGTAAATAATCAGTCAACGATCAGGTGAAGCCGAGATTCAAGTGTTTCGTGCAAGTCTGCCAAGAGGTTGGCCTGATAAGAAGTCGTAGGCACACGCCCTAAGATCTAACATGCACATATGTTTATAGTTTGACACCCCCACATAGGCTAGGTGAGGGGCATCAAACGAGCAAGACAAGCAGGAGCTCAATGTAGATCAACTAGTCCAGCCACTGAGTCAGGTGTCATAAGATCAGCCAAGAAAAGCAACAAGGCAAAATAATCAACTCAAGGTGGTACGACTAGCCAGCCTCTAAGAAACAAACGGCCACACGGCCAGTTAAAGGATTCATAGATTTATATAAACAGTAGAACAGGCAGATCAAGAAACAAGAGCCAAGTATACAACAAACAAGGGAGTGTCTGAACATGGCCAAGTTGGAAACAGAAGCTGTGGTGGTCACTAGGTGGGAGGGCCTTAATGAATATGTCCGCATTGTTGGCTGCTGAGACCACAAAGACCAAGCGTGCTTGGCCGCGTCGCTGCAGCTCTCGCAGTAGAAAGTACCACAGACTGATGTGCTTTGGTCCGCTCTCTTGTCGAGGCTCTCGACACAGGAACATGGCCTTGTTGTAAGCGAACAAGGTCGATGTAGAGCTAGGCCACTCACCTGGATCTCGGCCTCAGCACTGGACTGTGACACAGACAACGACCGAGGAGACCTCCACTTCGGAGAGTCACTGTACAACGGGTAGACTGGTCTACGTGGGAAGGTACGTGGTTGAACATGTGGTTGTAGCTTTGCTCATGTTCTCTCTAATTGTGTGTTCACAAAGCAATTTGGCAAGAGCTTCACTAACAGAAGTTGAGAACAATGATACATAATGGTTTCGCAAAGGTGACTGTATCAGAATGCTAGCAACCTAGCAAGCAGGCAAGTCGGCCTCCGGCGCAGCACAAGGGCGTCTTGCCAGCATAGGAAGACGGCGGCCTGCTAACACATTGCCAACACTACAAGTCGGCGACCTACCAGCATTGCACCAAGGCGGGTTGCCAATGCCGCAGCAAGGCGGCTTGCTAGCGTAGCAACCGCATGTAATCACGTGCGCACCTACCAAGTAGGTGCAGGTAGACGGTAGCATGTTAGGCACATTGCGAAGTTGCCCGGGTTGACCACATGTCCGACGTTGCTCTAGATGCACCACGTCAACCACGTGCTACCGCCACGCAGCTCGACTTCGCCATAACCACCTGGACCACGCGTGCGCACCCCCGTAGAACATCATTGACCAGGTTACTCGGTCAACCAGAGGAGGTTGCCGATGTTTACAAGTCGGTGTTCAGAAGTCGACGTCATGTCGACCACCACCGTCGTCGACCCCCGAAACCCAGAGCTGCCCGTCGACTTCCTTTCGTTGGCCGGCATCGAAGTCGACCTCGATATGGTCCCACAAAAGTTGACAACCAACTTCGTCAACTTCCCACTCGTTGTTGACGCCGACCTACAAGTCCAGCCGACCGTATACATTACACATCAGTCAGCGACGTCGACTTTGCCCAAGCGAGGGCGGGGCCAAATCCACGATCAACACTCCCTTGCCCAGCTCGCGCTTGGGGAGAGCAACGTCGACCGCTGACATCACCGCACGAGCTACCTGCAGTCGCCATCGGCCGCAGCACTTGCGGATACATTCCTCGACGCTCACTCGGCAGCCCGAATCACCCCACGGATCAATCTTGTGCCTCCACCGTCCATGTGGCTATTGCCGCCTTCGTTGTGCACATGTGGAGGAGAGGCAGACGTATTGTCAGCATGAGTTCCTAGGATCCTCAACTCCAATGACACTCCGCTGTATTCGCCAGCTTGGTGGCGTGCCTGAACTTCAGCATCCCTCGCTTGCATGGTATCCTCTACCCCTGCTTCAACTACGAGGTCGACCATGGCAACCAAGACAGATGCCAGCCGAACAATGATTCAGGTAAGGCGCAGTAAAGTCGAAACCTATCTGGAGGTCTAAGCGCAAGGCCGTTCACGCTCATTGCACCATGCAAAGAGTCACTCTACAATGGGTAGATTGGACTACGTGGGAAGGCACGAGGTTGTACGGGTGTTCGTAGGTTCGCTCGTGTTCTCTCTACTTGTGTGCTCACAGGGCAATTTGGCAGGAGTTTCACTAGCAAAGGTTGAGAACAATGATATACAATGGTTTGCCAATGGTAACTACAGAATACTAGCAACCTACCAAGAAGGCAATCCAGCCTCCAACGCAACACGAGGGCGGCTTGCCAACAACGAGTTGGTGGCCTGCCAACACAAAAGGGAGGCGGCTTGCCAACACTGCTGGTCGTCGATCTGCCAGCATTGCACCAGGGCAGCTTGCAAATGCTGCAACAAGGTGGCTTGGCAGTGTAGCAACCGCATATGATCACGTGCGCACATGTGCGCACCTCCGCGTCGACCACATGCTACCGCTACACCACGTCGACCACGTGCTACCACCACGCAGGTCAACTTCGCCATAATGACATGGACGACGTTTGCGCACCCCCGTAGAACTACGACGATCAGGTTACTCAATCGATGAAAGAAGGCCATCGACGCCCACAAGTCGGTGTACGGAAGTCGGCGTCATGTCGTCGACCACCATTGTTTACCGCCAAAATCCAGCGTGGCCCGCCGACTTCCCTTCGCCGGCCAACGCCGAAGTCGGCTTCGCCAACGCCGGCCTCGATGCGGTCCTGTTGAAATCGACAACCAACTGCGTCGACTTCCCTCGCCAGGTCGACGGTGACTTCTAAGTCAAGCCAACTGTACGCCTTGCGTGTCGCTCGGCGATGTGGACTTCGCCCGAACGATGGCAGGGCCAACTCTTCAATCAACATCCACGACACAACCCCAGAGCCTACGCTGAAACAGTACCCCTGATTCGCCCTGCTGGTCTCCTCGTCGTCCACCAAGGACAAGTCGCAGTGCTCGGTAAACCGCATTGGCTCCAACCCTCCATGCACAAGCTACATGCCTAACGTGGTCGCCAGCTACTTCGCCACCCTCTTAGCAGTCGTCGAGTGAACACGACAGTATATCATTGTCAAAACAAGGAGTCAAAACGCTCAATGGATATGCGAGATCCGGGCGAGTGCACATCATTAGGATTTTTATTAGGGGGCCCACAAGCTCTGCAAAGCAACCTAGGCTCAATGGGCTTGTCCGGAACAGGAGTAGTGGGTTTGTGGTCAATGGCAAGAGGAGTGGGCTGTATGGTGAAGAATTTAAGCTTGAACTGCTAAAGAACATGCTACGCCATGCGTGACTGAGTTAGAATGATGGTGCGAGTGTGTCAGGATGTTATTATCTAGCCTGTAATGGGGTGCTCTATAGCGGGTACAACCCAGTTAGGGTTTGCTATATGTATCCCAACTGCTGCTAGTGAACCCCTGCATTTTGCCTAAACTTTCACTTGCCTGGCTAGGGCTTACCTAGCTATGGCTCCTCGTTATGCCTACTATTCTTCACAGAGTGGCTCTGTCCCTAGTGATCAGCAAGCCAAAGTAGCTGCTCAATTAACTAAGGTTAGTGTACGTGGGTCTCATCAACAGTTCGGACTTCACTAAAGTCAGACCAATCATGCATGCTGTAGCGAGGACCAAGTGGTCGACGCAGATGAGGACGAAGAAACGGCTGGAGCCAGAACGAATGAACAGTGACGGGTATGAGAAAGGGGGAATGAACTTGAGAGAAGCGGAAGTGGAGGGGACTGTAAGCTGGTCGTATGAGGTCCATTGGGTCCAAGGGGAATGTGCCAGTGAAGCTAAGAGGACGTCGCTACCAGACGTCGTTGTGCAGGCTGCCGTAGAGGG